CGCCGGGCGTAGTGCCTATGGATTTCTGTACAAATCAGACTGTTGAACTTGGAGCTGGGAAACCGCCGTTCTTATAAACTAGGCGGATTGTGGAAAGCACATAGGGAGGAGTGGTGTGCTTCTGACACGAAAGCCTTACGACGGAGCCTTTTGCAATGTAAACTACGCTGCAGGGCTATCGTCAAAATTTACGGTCATCAGATACAGCGTGACATTACGTGGTGACATGGACTGTGGCGAAATGGTGAGGCTTCAAAATCATTTTAAATATAACGTACTCAACCTACCCCTGTATGTGGGCTTTAGTAGAAACTTCAGGGTGAGAAATTAGACACAAACAATGAAGTATATAGTTTGTTTGTTTCGAACATTCTTGCAAAGCTACACAGAGGGCTATCTGTGCTAGTCTCTAATCGAAGTAATGTAGGTTAACATTCAATAATACATCCTTGAGCCCAAAGTTCGTGGCACGATTTGAAAACAACGGGACTCCAACCATGCACCCTCCTATTCACAGACCTGAAGGCTAACTCTAGGCCACACTCGGCCCTGTATATAAAGCAGCTACAAATATTTCAAAATGTTAAACTGGTCTTCTCTGTGTACATGGGTTTATTTACTACTTTTAAACTACAAATATAAACCTTTATACTACTATTATTAGTAGGACACAGCCAGTGGTGTTGCAATAGATCAGGCAGATGCCTCAGGACCCATGCCAACTAGGATTTTTTTAAACTTTGAATATTGGAATTGGCGGAATAACCTACTGAAGCAATGGGAAAAAAATAAGGATGGGAGGCAACAAAAATGTTCTCCCCGGGGTCCACCCTTGGCGACCCAGTTATGCCACTGGACACAGCAAAAAGATTGATTTATATGTCAGAATATTGTATTTTAGGTTTTGGTAAACAAATATTAATAAGGTTACGAGTGAGAAATGACGGTGCTAGGGAGGCTTGGCCCACTAAGCCCTTTCACGCTGCTGGGCTCGGACAGCGTGTGGGTTTCAAAGACTGCCATAATAGTCATACTGTAATGTTGCGTATCTGCTCGTTTGTTCATATCCGGTATAAATTATTTCCGAGGAACTTCAGCGATACAAGTCCTTTTTTAAGTACAACTAGTTTATTCTTTCTCGATACAACTTTGTAATACACAGAATTTCCTCAGTCAGTTTAAACTGAACTACTTTTATAAACACAGGTTATAAATCACAGTGATTCACACACTTTATTTACGGTGCCTACTGTTCGCTTGACTCAATTATCTCTATCTTCAGTCTATCTACATATCTCTCTATCAATGAATTCTATCCTCGCTTTATTTGCCGGGCTTATATACTAAAAAAGGGGGGGCGCCTGGAACAAACTGGAGTTGCCAGGAAAATTCATGATCCTTCGAGAATATCATCACGTGTTACCAGCGTCACGTGACTTCCGCTGTCGTAACAGTAAGTATTACCCAACTTACGTACTGTAACAGTTTGCAACTCTTTTAACTCAAATATATTGAATAGTAGTACAAAGAATAGGTTATAATTTGTATTGGCACTGAAGCATTGTTCGTAAAAGAATAATTTAATTTTCTTACCTATCTTTTCATTCTAACGGTGTTCTGGAAGGATATTTAGAATGTTCAAGTTGACCAGTGAACAATGGAAAAACTGGTTTTGTTAGAATCATGTAGACGTTGCAACGTTTGTAGTAAGACGAGTTGAAAATTACACAACATTGAGCGCTAAATTATAAACTGCTCATGCGCCATGCGCTACGGTTTACTTTGAGGTCCGTAAAATTGCAGCGTTTTGTGCATGGGTGGATGTGTATAGTAAAATGTAACAGTTTTCACAGTGACGGTGGTTTACTTGTTTGTTTGTTTTTCCTTGTTTGTACACGTCTTTAGGTCTACAAACAGCTGCCTTTCATAAATTTGCTTTGCATTCAATTATGATCAATGCATTATCAAAAAGATGTCAAAACAGGAAAAATCAGCTATTCGCGTTTTCTGTTCTCATATGTGTGCCAGACATTAGCTTGGCCCGGCATGGCCAGGTGGTTAAGGCACTCGACTCGCAATCTGAGGGTCGCGGGTTCGAATCCCCGTCACACCAAACATGCTCGCCCTTTCAGCCGTGGAGGCGTTATATTGTGACGATTAATCCCACTATTCGTTGGTAAAAGAGTAGCCCAAGAGTTGGCGGTGGGTGGTGATGACTAGCTGCCTTCCCTCTAGTCTTACACTGCTAAATTAGGGACGGCTAGCGCAGATAGTCCTCGTGTAGCTTTGCGCGAAATTCAAACAAAACAAACAAACATTAGCTTAACTGAAAAAGTAGAATGATTTGAAGTATTCAAATTGGAATTTTAAATGTAAGTCTTCAGTAAATATAAACATTGCAAATTTCCTTCTGTCTTTCCCTTGATTTTCCTGTTCTTCTGTAGAAATGACACAAAAATAAATTCAGTATGCTTATAAATCGTTGTTGGTCAATTTACTATTGCATCAACATAACGTGCTTCCATACAAGTAACACTAGTTCATATTTCAGCTTGTTTGTTTGTTTGTAATTAGGCACAAAGCTACACAATGGGCTATTTGTGCTCTGCCCACCACGGGTATCGAAACACGGATTCTGGTGTTGTAAATCCGCAGACATACCGCTGTGCCACTGGGGGGGGGGGGTATATTTCAGCATTGTTCGGTAATGTTTTCCATTGAAGGCACCAGTGAGATAACAGCTAACTCGCAATAAAAATGAGTCATTTTAACATTGGAAGTGGTCCTGATAATTTAAATGAATTTTGATTAATATACGTTATGAGTCTCAAACAACCATAATAATTATTTTAATGATTTTATCATTTGGTAATCGTTCGATTGCATAATTTTATGTTCTTGTTGCTTGCTGTGAAAATTATTTGAAGTTATTATATTATAAGTATAAAAGTCACAACACACACAAATACATTTTGTATGATTATTTATGTTTTTATATATGATCAAAGACAAAGTACTGCAAAAATTTCAATAAAAGTTACAAAAATTACTAAAAGAAAACTCAGAAGTTTATCGTAAACATCAAAATAAAAACTGAGTAATCAAGAAAACTCGTCGAAGTAATTTTACAAAAGAAAGGTATTGATTTATACACTGTTTGTTTGAAGTGCTTGGAGTAATTGTATGGAGTAAAATTATTTCAGTATTTTAATAAAATTAATATTTTGCACTCGTGTCGCCACCAGAAGATATAACAGATGAATATATTACTACAACTGTTCTTGTTATACAAGTAAGATAAAAAAATTAAAAAAAGGAAGTAAATGTAGAGATGGCTAATATCAATCCTTCAAAAACAATGAAAACAAGATACTAGGGATGACATTTGCATCATTCCTACATAGATTTATTTGAAATTATTCATAAGCGCTGATTTCTCAAGAACTTGATG